GCACAGCTACAGACTAGGGACCGAATGGCTAGGCAGCAGTTCTGCGGAAAAGGACCTAGGGGTGACAGTGGACGAGAAGCTGGATATGAGTCAGCAGTGTGCCCTTGTTGCCAAGAAGGCCAATGGCATTTTGGGATGTATAAGTAGGGGCATAGCGAGCAGATCGAGGGACGTGATCGTTCCCCTCTATTCGACATTGGTGAGGCCTCATCTGGAGTACTGTGTCCAGTTTTGGGCCCCACACTTCAAGAAGGATGTGGATAAATTGGAGAGAGTCCAGCGAAGGGCAACAAAAATGATTAGGGGACTGGAACACATGAGTTATGAGGAGAGGCTGAGGGAGCTGGGATTGTTTAGCCTGCAGAAGAGAAGAATGAGGGGGGATTTGATAGCTGCTTTCAACTACCTGAAAGGGGGTTCCAAAGAGGATGGCTCTAGACTGTTCTCAGTGGTAGCAGATGACAGAACGAGGAGTAATGGTCTCAAGTTGCAGTGGGGGAGGTTTAGATTGGATATTAGGAAAAACTTTTTCACTAAGAGGGTGGTGAAACACTGGAATGCGTTACCTAGGGAGGTGGTAGAATCTCCTTCCTTAGAGGTTTTTAAGGTCAGGCTTGACAAAGCCCTGGCTGGGATGATTTAACTGGGATTTGGTCCTGCTTCGAGCAGGGGGTTGGACTAGATGACCTTCTGGGGTCCCTTCCAACCCTTATATTCTATGATTCTATGAGTCGACGGGAGAGCGCTTGGGGGTGGGAGGGGGCGTCGATTGATCGCGTCTAGACTAGATGCGATAAATCGATCCCCACTGGATCGATCGGTGCCTGCTGATCTGGCAGGTAGTGTAAACATATCCTTAGAGTTTTACTTAGCCCTATGTAGACATGCAATATGCAGCCCAAAAGGATATATTAAATAAAGCTGCTAGTTTTTAATTAATAATGAACTTTAGCATATTAAATTGAGCTCTCAGTAACCTGAAAGATGTGACTAGAAATGTACTCAAATTAAAACCCCAGATCAGAAGTCCAGCAGAAAATATCAATTTAGTATCTCTATAATGAGCTATACCAAAATCCTGAATCCAAACACTCCTGAAACTGAGTTTCATCATGTAGATTGAACTATGAACTTTACCAAGTGTTGTGACATTTGGATTTGGCATTTTATAGAGATACTGTGACTCAATCCTGAGTCCAGAGTTCAGCTTCCACTGTTTGGTTTCATCTTATTTCTAGAGATAATACTTAGTTTATCATCATAATAAAAGGACTGTTCTATTTGTGGTGGCCATTGTTCTGGAAGTTAGAATGAACAGAATATAGTCCATGTTTTGGCCAGCATTCACTCTGTTGTGAACTATTGTTCAGTGCCTAATTATTGCATCGTTTTCCTTCCAACTCACTACTGAAAACCAAATTCATCTCTCTCTCTCTCTCTCTCTCTCTCTCTCTCTGATGGGATTGTTCATGAAATTACAGATGGATCATGGAGAATGCCAAAAACTGCTATACTGAATTCTCAACTCTGAGGGAGGTTGGGCTAGGAGACATGGACTAGCCAGTCACAGTCCTCATCTTCTCTCCCTTTCTGCGGTGCTTTGTAAGGCTCCCTTCTCAAAGAAGAGAAAAGCGCAGGGCATGGCCCTGCCAGCAGGCAGCAGTGGGAGTGGGGGTGACCTGTCAATCTAGGGTTTTCTACTGTGCTCATCACCACAGCAGCTGCTCACTACATATGTTTAAAAACACCAAATAGGCAAACTGAAATCCAGTTTCCAGTGGCAATAAAATCAGCCATGGCTTTCCCTGCCTCCTCCTCTCCAGTCTCATGCTCCCAGCAGCAGAAGTCCACTGCTTTGGGAGGCTGCCAGCCACATATTTTTGGGGGCGGTCATGGCTGCATGGTTGCTGGTGGGGTGCACTGGTGCTTGTTCTGCTTCCCTTCCCTATTAATCCAGGTTTTGAAGGAAAATGAGGTTCTTGGTCCTCCACCTTATCTCAGGGGGACCATTTGTACTGCTCCCCTCCACCAGCCCAACATTAGCGGTTCTCTTCAGCAGCTTGGCTAACCCTGGGAGCCCAGACCCTCTGCTGTGATATCTGAGGTCCTTCAAAAATTGTTTTAAAAAATTGGCCCAGTTAGGGCTATAATTAACATTGACAGCCCCCTAGCCCCTTTAAAAATCACCCCACAGACTGAAGAATGGGAGATACACTAGGAGTTAATGCTATTGTAGTGAATTGGATATTTTTCTCTTAAATTTCCTTTTGAATGTGTGATAAACTTGTATTTTTATGTCTTGAATCTGTAATATAGCTATCATAAAATTTTAGCAGTGTTTCCTTTTCATCCTTGTCATTCTAATTTGGTTTCCAAAAATGTTTATTGATATATTTTTGGCATTGTCAAGAAACCGTAACACCATCTCCTTACATTTGCATCGATATCTTCCTGCCCCAATGTCACCTTATTTCTTTCTGTTTTGACATTGCAATATCATAAATGTTCAATAATAGTGATGCAGGTTTAACTACCTTGGCTATTCTAGAACATTTACGTTTCAAAATAAATGAAAGCTTCTTAGCACAATTTATGGATTAGTTCTTTCCACCAAATTTTATATTTAAAGTTTAATACTTTTCTTTGTAAAGCTGGCAAGAAAACATTTGAAACTGGATCAAAATGATAAATCCTCCCATCTATAATTGATTTACTAGAATTTTGGAGGACTAGAAGAGATTAAAATTGGATGCAGACAGACAGTTTACATGCTGATTTGCAACATGACCACTTTTGAAATGATAAGGGCCTAAATCTGTCTTGCTTTGGTCATACAAATAATCCCACTGAAGTCAACTGAGCAAGGAGAGCAGGATTTGACCTCAGAATACTAGACCCCACAATACGTGCTTTCCAACAAGCACACCAACTCAACCATTCATCATCTCTGTAATATGTTCAATCTGGAGCCCATTAAAGTGTTCAGTGGGTTTGGGATCAGTACATTCCCACACAAGAAAATGTTAAACTGGAGTTAAGGCTAATTGAAAACTCTGACCTGTAGTGACACCATGAACGGGAAAATAGTTTTTAAAATCACTTTTGTCTAATCTAGGACCATAAACATGAAAATGCATGAATCATAATTATATGGTTATCACATGGTATCACTACAGGGCAGAGTGAGGGTTGTTTAGGTGCCTTGACTATTAATTTCTATATCTTCTCATGTTCAGATTTCTTTTAAGTGCTTGTTTTTGGGATAATTACAACGTTGGGTTTTTTTTACCTTTAAGGTACTGTTATTACTCCTGGGGGAATTTTGGCGCCACTGCGCAATTCAGAATATGTGCAGAATTAATGTTCTGTGCAGAATTTCCCTTTTCTCTGCAGAATTGGTGCTGCAGAGCTGCTGGCTACCATTAGGGACCACTGGACCCAGCAGAGCCCACCTCTCCAGCTCCCAAATACAGGACACTGCCAGGGAGGATGGGAAGGGGGAGCTGGAGCATTCCAGGTGGCTGTGGTTCTCAGTACTTCCTGAAGGAAGGAGGTGGCATGCAGGAAACTCTGTACAAGCCCGGGACGCAGCATCAGGCTTTTTCTCTCTCTGGCAGGAGGTGGTGAGGTTATCTGAGCTGGCGGATACCCCATGGCTGAGCTTAGGGGTTGCAGGTGTCTGGGCTGGCGGGTGCCCTGTGGCTGGGCACTGGGCGTGAGGGGGTGCAGGTATTTTGGCTGGGGGGGCCCTGCAGCTGGGCTCTGGAGGGGAGAGGAGTGGAGGCGGTATGTGTGTCTGGACTGGAGGATACCCCATGGCTGGGTTCTGGTTGGGGAGGCCTTGCAGCTTGGCTCGGGGCAGAGGGGGTGTGGGTGTCTGGGTTGGGGGGGGCGCAACTGGTTTTTTAGGGGAAGCGGTGTAGATGTCTGGGGTGGGGGGCACTCTATAGCAGGCATCTGGGGGGAAAGGGGGTGCAGTTGTCTGGGCTGGGAGGGCCCTGACGCTGGGCTCTGGGGGGGAGGGGGTGCAAGTGTCTGTGCTGGGGGGCACCCCATGGCTGTGCTCTGAAGGAAGGGGTTGTGGGAATCTGGGCTGGGGGTGGGTGGGCGCATGGCTGGGTTCTGGAGGGAGGGGACAGAGAAATAGGAAATGGGTTGTCGTAGGAGTTTTTTTAACTCTCTAATCCTGGGAAATCTTTTTTTCTTGTCTGTTTTGTTACAGTCATAGTTGCCAACAGGTATTTTGAAATAAATTTCCAAAATAATTGAAACTGGTGTGATTATACTGTGTTATTTTGATAAATAAAATTTGCAGGATTTTTACATTTTGTGCACAGATTTTTTAATTTTTTGGCACAGAATTCCCCAGGAGTATGTTATGTGCTTTTTAACTTTCAGTATGTTAGATTTACATGCATTATTAACAAATATGGCTAAATATCATATCCTACTGGTTACCTTCCCAAATTATGGCAATATCATCAATGGATCCCAAATACAATTTTTTAAAAACGTTTATTTAGGCAAAATTACAATAAAATGTTAACATACTACAAGTAGTAGATTGATTTATATGGCCTATCTTGATCATGCAGAGTGCAAGAAATAATCTTTTTTCCTACAGAAACATCAGAATTTTTTATCTTCAGAAGTGAAAGTTACATCAAAGAAATTCTGAAATAACTTAAAACTTTTCCTGCTTTTTTACTATTTCAGCATTACCATCCAAAGCCTCTCTTCCTGCAAGCAGATGGGCTATAATGACTCCTATGCCTGTGTAGGGCTGGAATAGGGCCTAGAGGGGTACATTCAAATAGCAGAAGAACACAGGAAAATATTTCCAGTCCAAATTATAGATACTCTTTTCTTTTTTTAAACTTCGCAAATATGGCTGAATGTTAAGAAACCATTATTTACAGTCCATCTCAAAGGAAGTCAATTTGTTTTTCTTTTCCATTCATTATTTATAACATTTATTTGTCATTTTTGTCATTTTGTAGAGCTTCCAAGAGCAGCTGTCAGGATCTTAAGCAACATGACATTCCTTTTTGTGAGTTTGTCATACACAGCTGAGAGTGCCATTGTTACTGCTTTTATTACCTTCATTCCCAAGTTCATCGAGTCACAGTTTGGCATCCCAGCTTCCAATGCCAGCATCTACACTGGTAAGGCATTGCCTTTAGCACAACATTGAAAGGATTATCATTCTCTAACCACTGAAACAAAAGCAATAGAGGAAAAAAATAAAACTGGCTTTAAAATGATAATCTTACTAAAGCTAAATAATGTCTAACTTTACTTTTTCCATTCAGAATTCCAGTAGTTCCTTGGGTGTTTGCTATGTTTGTTTACTAAAATGCGAACCAAATGTTGTTGTTTTTATTTTGTACAAGTGAAGAACTTGCCATTTTTTTTAGGTTATATTAAAGTTTTATTGTGAGGGGAAAAAATAAGGGGATATACCGTCACATTCATAGACCTTAAGGTCAGAAGTGACCATCATGATCACGTGCAAGTTACAGAGAATCTGCCATTAGTTTAAAAGGTCTTATAAGTTCTTATATTATTTAATATTAATTTCTTAAAAGCTAATTTTACTTTGACCTCCTCAACCTTTATAATATTCTCCCTTCCTTTCTCTCCGGTGACCAAATGACTCGTCTATGCCCTACTCATTCATCTTCCACCTGGACTACTGCAATCGCCTCCTTGTTTATTTATTTATAACAGCCTTGCCACAGTCCAGCCCATCCATAATGTTGCTGCCAGAATCATCTCTCTATCACGTAAATTGACAGGTTTCAGAGTAGCAGCCATGTTAGTTTGTATTCGCAAAAAGAAAAGGAGTACTAGTGGCACCTTAGAGACTAACCAATTATTTGAGCATCAAGGATCTACAACCTATCCTGAAGGACGACCCATCACTCTCACAAATCTTGGGAGACAGGCCAGTCCTTGCCTACAGACAGCCCCCCAACCTGAAGCAAATACTCACCAGCAACCACACACCACACAACAGAACCACTAACCCAGGAACCTATCCTTGCAACAAAGCCCGTTGCCAACTGTATCCACATATCTATTCAGGGGACACCATCATATGGCCTAATCACATCAGCCACATTATCAGAGGCTCGTTCACCTGCACATCTACCAATGTGATATATGCCATCATGTGCCAGCAATGCCCCTCTGCCATGTACATTGGTCAAACTGGACAGTCTCTACGTAAAAGAATAAATGGACACAAATCAGATGTCAAGAATTATAACATTCATAAACCAGTCGGAGAACGCTTCAATCTCTCTGGTCACTCGATTACAGACCTAAAGGTTGCAATATTACAACAAAAAGACTTCAAAAACAAGACTCGAACGAGAGACTGCTGAATTGGAATTAATTTGCAAACTGGATACAATTAACTTAGGCTTGAATAAAGACTGGGAGTGGATGTGTCATTACACAAAGTAAAACTATTTCCCCATGTTTATTTCCCACCCCCCACCCCTCACCGTTCCTCAGACGTTCCAGTTAACTGCTGGAAATGGCCCACCTTGATTATCACTACAAAAGGTTTTCTCCCCCCCCCCACTCTCCTGCTGGTAATAGCTCATCTTAAGTGATCACTCTCCTTACAGTGTGTATGATAACACCCATTTTTTTCATGTTCTGTTTGTATATAAATCTCCTCACTGTATTTTCCACTGAATGCATCCGATGAAGTGAGCTGTAGCTCACGAAAGGTTATGCTCAAATAATTGGTTAGTCTCTAAGGTGCCACTAGTACTCATTTTCTTATCACTTAAATTATGTACCTGTCCTCTTGGAGAGATTTCACCAGCTCGCCATTGCAACGTGCATCCAGTTCAAACTTTTGTCCTTGCTTAAAAAGTCCTACCTTATACAGCCCGACTGATTTCACTGGGGCTCTGTGTGGGTGCAAGGGGCCCCCTACGCAGAATAATTTACAGAATTGGGGACCATGTGTTGGCCCTGCTCTCTCGACTCTGCTGATGAAAGCAGCCTTTGCTTCTCCTCTCATTTCCTTCTCTCTCTTTGTGCTTTCTTCTGAGCTGCCTCCTTCATTCCCATGCATGGAATGACCTCCTCAAACCTGTACACCAGCCCACCTCCCTCTCCTTGTTCAAATCCCTCCTAAAAACTCACATCTTTCATCTCACCTCTGAGAACCAAGGGAGAGAAACACAACATTTAAAAAAATAATACAAAACTATCAAGATCATACCACCCTGAGTAACTGACCTGTTACATACCTCCCTGTGTAACAAAGCCCCTGGTTGGGCCCATCTATGGGGATTGAACCCAGAAACTCTGGAGTTAAATGTATGACTTTCTACTGCTTGAGTGAAAAGAGCTGGCCCAGTAACTTGGAGGCAGAAACACACTCATAAAACTCTTATGTTGTTCAGCCTCCAGAGGGAGACAAAAGTCCATGCTGGTATAATACGGATTACGCTTGTCCTTTTCTCCCTGTTTTTGTTGGTAATTAACCCCACCTCTTTTGTCAAACCACTATTAAATTGTCAGTCTTTCAGGGCAGGGACCACATCTTTGAAAGGCATCCACCGCTATTTTTGATACTCAGAAATAATGAAGAAATAATAACAAAACAAGCAATAATAAGCCTTGATCTTTCCCTGCATGGCCTATTTTGAACTTCTTTCAATATGCACCATTTTAGAAGGAAAACCATTCCACCTTTTCACTTTCAGTATCTTTTCATTTCTGTAGTCAGAAACACTAATTCTCTTAAAGGTATTCTCTTTTCCCATTTTTTCCTGGCTCTGAAGCAGTTCAAGAGTTTGTTTCTGTACAACATACATTAAAAATTCCATAGTTCTTGAGATGCACAATGACCTTATGAAACTCATGGTCACAAATTATTAGTGAAGCTAGGAGTTTAGCAAGATTAAAAACAGGGATGAACATTTATATGATAGACTATCCAGTTACATTAAATAAGATTAAAAAAATGGGAGGGATATAAATCCACATGCTTCAGGACATGTGAACCATTAACTGAGAATGGTAGGAAAAACCTTCCTCTATAGGCAAGCTATTCCATAATTGCCAACTTCAAGGGTTTTTTTTTTTTTCCCCATCTGTCTCTGAAGCACAAGTTACTGGCCACCATCAGAGACAGGATACTGAACTAGATGGACCACTCATCTGATCTGGTGTGGCAATTCCTATGTTACTTGGAGGCAATGCATCAACAAATCCATGGCCATTATTCAAGTACTCCAAACTTCAAAATGGAGTCACTTCCCCACCTCCTACCGCCGGCTATGCCCCAGCGGGTGAGTGAAGTACCAATGGACTGGGCACGCATGATCGCTTCAGAAGAGAAGGGAGAGCTATAGGAGAAAGAGAGAAAGCTGTCTGGTTGCATGGATCCAGGAAAGGAGAGGAAGCAGTGTGAGATGGAGAGACAGGGAGAAAGAGGATCTGAGTTGGAACCTTGGGTGTCTGTCTAGTCTGGGGTGGGTGGGAAAAAAAGAGCAGTCTTCCTGGGATCCTGATCGGGACAGTGGGAAGTAGCAGCAGTGGGAGTTCTCTGTGGGAGCCTGTGGAGTGGGGAGAGACATTCTGTGCAGGGCACGAAATTAATGAACTATATCATACAGATGCTTGCAGTGATGTTGTAGTCGTGTTGGTTCCAGGATATGAGAGACACAAGGTAGGTGAGGTAATACTTTTTATTGGACCGTCTGTGGGTAGACGGGACAAGCTTTTGAGCTTCACAGATCTCTTCTTCAGGTCTCCTGAAGAACCAGTAGATTAGTTGAAGAAGAGATCTGGGTAGCTCAGAAACTTATCCTTTCTACCAACAGAAGTTGGTCCAATGAAAGATATTACTTACTTTGTTTCTCATATAAAATATAATGGTAGTTGTGATTTATGGGACTAATTCCAGATGATGGTTCTAGTGGTTATACAAACTAGGAGTTTTGCTCTCATGGTTTATGGCATCACCGGTAGTTTTGATGGAATTATTGACCCATAACTCACATTAGAGGCTGTATACACACAAGAACGAGTGCCAATAAAACATTCATGTGCCAATAACACACACAAAGGTTGGGAAATTCCAAAAAGTTAGGACTAGATTGAGCCTTTGCTGTATCCTGAGTATGGAGCAGTTTATAGCTGCACTGCCCCAGAGAAGATCCTCAGGGAGTAATTGTGACTCTTAAAAAATTAACGTTCCCACTCTATTGCCCACTTACTAGTGTGGGGGGTGGATAATTTCCTACAGTTATTTAGTAACGTTTAATTTTTCTAGACGAAGGTAAAAGAAGATTTGGAGATAGCCAGTGTACACAGTTACATCAGTGGAGCTTGTAAATTACTTGTACTGTTTACAAGCTCTTCTAGCTTCAGTTGCAGTGTAATTTGTAAATTCTTTGAACCAAAATATCAACACTTCAGCTGTGCACTTAACTAGCTGTACACACATGCTCAGTGCATCTATCTTTGTGTGGCCAGCTGAAGACCTAATGAGATTTTGCACAGTGCATTTTCAATTGGCAATTTACAAACAGCCATTTCTTTGTTAAATTTAATTCAGTTTCTTTTCTCAAACAAAGCAAAGGCATTAGTCTTCAGTGAGGATTAAATCCATGCCAGATTTCAAGTTTTGAATTTGAGTTTCCTTTGCTGAAGTCTTTTATTTAAAAAAGAAAAAAGTGGTTAGAATTTTTTAAATGGGAAAAGTGTAATTTTTCCGCCCACAGTGAACAAAAACAAAACAAAACACAAAGCTCTTAAACTTTCTAAAAACAAACAACAAGAAGTTGACCTCAGGGCAGAGGCTAAACTTGGAAAATTTCAGCTCAAAAGATAAAATGATTCAGTAGATTATAAAAGTTTGTGAAGAAAGAGGGTTATATTTTGCAATTTAAACCATTTTGCATTCACTAGTAACTTCTACTGTTCCTACATATAGTAATATACCGTAAACTGGTTCAACTTCTTTTCTAGGAAAGGTGCAGTGTACAACTCACACAGAATAGATTTTTAAAATCTCTTTGCTACTACCATTGGAAATGCAACACTGGTAGCAAATATTGCAGATTTCTGTAAGCAGACTGTTAGTAGCTGCTATAATCATCTTTTTCTCCTGTGGGAAAGCTTCAAGTGC